TAATAATACTTACTACAAAAGATCCTAAACATTATTGGTTAATGCAAATAAAATACCTCCAACTTAGTACAACCGTCACGATATTTTACGTCACCTTGTCCTTTTAGAACTATTGCTAGCTTCATCTGGGAAAAGCTAAAGTAACTATACTGTAGAAGAAAAGGATTTTTGCACTTTTGATACAAATACACGTCAACACCAGAGGAGGCACAATAATATATGACAATTCTCTTCATATTTCCCCAAAACAAAATGTATTCAATGAAATACATTTCCAGTGTAATTGCTAATTTAACGTTTTTACAAGTGCATAAGAAGGTCACTAGTGACAGCAAACACTAGATGTCTAGGAATATACATACATATATATTTACATAATACATATTTAAGAGAACATCTAAAGAAAATGGGACAGTTTTTACATACATATTCAAAGTATCTGAGAAATTCCACTGGGGTCCACATTAGTGAGCCTTAAGTATTGCCAGGGTTCTGTGTAAATAAGTAGAATAGAAAAGCAAACCTTTACTAATGGTGTCCGTCTACATACATTAATAGAAAATCTAATGGAAGTGGTATGATTGCATTAGAGAAATGCCTGTCATTCAGCCAAATTCCCTTCTGGGCGAGCATAAATATAAATGTAAATTTTTCATGGAATTCAACATTCAGTTACACTGGCTACAGATTAATGACAGTGACCCTCTGTCTTTTCTTTATGGAGGTAATATCCAGAGAAGAATAAATGTTTTGTGTGGAGAACATATTTTTTACATGTAGATTAATTAATAATCAGTTGGGTTGGGTAAATTATATTTTTGCCAGTTCTAGTTGAAGGAGAGACAAAATATATATTGATTTGCCCCATGAGAGATCCAATTTGACAATCAGCTCTCACAAGCGGTCCGTCAGATTGGCCATATAGATTACATTATAGCTCTGCTCCCACCCAGGTAGAGTGATGACAAGGCATAATCAATTGGGAAAGACCTGCTTCTAGAGGGGAACAGAATGTGGATTATAACTGAAATGATTCACATTCCTACGAATGCATCACATACTGGAGGACCATGGTGAATAAAAAGTAGGGCAGTTCACAGTGAGCTCTTTGATTAGCTCTCTTAGGCTTCCGTGATTGCATTCCCCATACCATGCCAAATGCTTTCTATTTGCATTATCATTTCAATCCTTAGTTGGTAAGAGTTCTTTTAAAATATTCCCACTCCAGTTTTGTAGATATTCGAGGCTGCAGATATGGAGCCTATAGTATCAAACCAATAATCATAAATTTGAGGTAAGATTGGGATGAGGGGAGTTGAGTGTTCTGCTTTGAGGTCTGCTGATGCTTCTGTAATTCCCTTCCACTTCCATGGTTCTTCCATCTGTTGGATGGGTGTGTGATGACACTTATCTCAGATGCCCTTTGAATTGACAGAATGAAGTCTGTTTCATGCATTTTTCTTTGGAGAAGGATTACAGTTGGCATTTAAAATTCAAGTTTATATCCAGGGGATGTGATAATTACTTGTCATTATGTAAATCCTAATGAAAGTGTTGTTTAAAACAGCAGATTGCAAAACAGAAAAAAAATGTTTGCAATTGCAAGAGATGAGCCTGAAAAATACTTGAGAGAATTTATGAAGCGGGGGATGTGCAGGCCATCCTAAAGAGTCTGCATTTTACTCTGTTGGGTGTGTTATTTTCTGAAATGTATTCCACAGAATGCTTGTGCTAGAGGATGTTACCATGTTGAGGGCAAGCTCAGTTAAATCAAATCCCAGTTTACTTTAGGGGAGGCCTTACATATGCTCATATGCATTGAGATTCTCTAAGGGGGGTTTCTGTAAATTGCTTTTCTCAAGCAAATCAATAGAATGCGGTAGTAGGTGCACAAGGAATATGAAAAAACTGCTCCAGTTTGGCACTTTCTGCTCAGTTAATTCTAATATTCTGTGTATCCTCGATACACCTGATATTCTTTGCCGTATTATCCTATGTATTTGGCACATAACAGGGTTCAGTGAGCAAACGGAAGGAATGAAATATCTGAATAGCCCTCTATTTTCTCACCTATAAAATGGGAAAACAATAATACCAATTTTTAGAGGATCGAAGAGTTGGATAAAAGTGATCACAGAGCATTTTGTTACTGTTTTTTTAAATTAAAATCAAATGGAAAGAGAATTACAAATGAAAAAAGTTAATATAAAAGATAGGGAAAAATATATAAGGGATTCCTGTCTAACTGTGAAATCTTTGCTTAACCTTACTAAAGCTTATTTGGAAAGGAGCTAATCACACTTCCCTTGAAATGTTCTCATAATCTGTCTTGCACCATGACTGGGGGTTTACAGTGTTGTGGGTAAGAACACAGGCTGGGAGGCAGCTGCCTGGTTTGAAACTCAGCCCTGCCCTTTACTAGATGAATGTGGCATTGGGCAATTTAATTGATTTCTTTCTGACTCAGTTTTCCTAATCTGCAAAGTGGGAGCAATGAGTATACTTAGCAATGGTGAGGATTACAGATAAAATAATACATGTTAGATATTTAAGAAGTTAGCTGCTGTTATTATTTCATGTTTCCTGCACAATACGAGAGACATGCTCAGGCTTTTGCCCTAATTTGTTCTTCCCAGACTGCAGCTGCCCGGCCAGTGGTTATACCCCATTTCCCCCTCCCTCCCAAACTGAGTGCTCACAACTCATTTTTAAGGAATATCCTCCCCTACTGAGATCTATTGGGTTAGACCCTCTATCCTCATCCAAACCCATTTACTTTTTTTTTTTTTTCGAGGTACGCGGGCCTCTCACTGCCGCGGCCTCTCCTGTTGCGGAGCACAGGCTCCAGACGCGCAGGCCCAGCGGCCATGGCCCACAGGCCTAGCGGCTCTGCGGCATGTGGGATCCTCCCGGACCGGGGCATGAACCCGCGTCCCCTGCATCGGCAGGCGGACTCTCAACCACTGCGCCACCAGGGAAGCCCCCCATTTACTTTTATTTTTAAAAACTCCACCAGTGCTTATTCTTTTGATGGCCATTAATATACAAGTACGTTAACATTCCTAGCTGATTTAAATCTGGATTATTTTCTCTCTGGATTACTGCCAATTTTTGCCAGTTCAACTGATGGTCAGTTAAAACCCAGAGGAAGTACTGACATCTAGAATTTGTAAGGACACAGAAAGGCAAACTAAAAACAGAAATCACACGCCATCTTGTATATAGGGATGTGTGGTGAGAAGGGAAGAACAAACGAAATTGACAATCCAAGACGTGTTAGATGGTTTGTTAGTTACCATGACTTGCTGGTGTCATTTAATCACTTTGGTGACAATTTTAAAAATAATAGTTTGAATGGGCCATTCACCTGGTTGCATCCTTTGTCCATGTTAACGCACTTTCCCCCAAATCGTTTGACTGTTTATGGAATTCCTCAAGTAGGCCAGTGAGGCATCAATAAGCCAGCAGAGGTTTTTAAGGCCCTTCCAAGAGTCCCCCGCACATGCTCCCCTCCACTTCAGATAGTGGGACTCTGCAGTGATGCCAACAAGTAAAGGGGAATGAACAGGAAAGACACTCCTTGATCCAGTATTAGTAACGGAGTCTAAGTTTTCAAAGTATGTACTTCAGATAGATTAGCAAAATCTATGATAGAGCAAGTTAAGGCCGACTGAATACTCACAAATAACCTGTGTATGTTTAAACTCACTTATTTGTATTTCCTTTTAAGGACAGTCCTAATATGAACAAAATTTATTTTAAATGATCAAGATATTTACATTAGGTTGGGTCTTCAAGGGCATATATGTCATGTATATATGAATATATGGATATACCATATCCATATATATCCATGGAGATTTATACATATATATGTATGTATATATCTCCAAAGGCAGAAGTTAGATTTAAGAGTGCTTTGCACATGAATACCAAAGAGATATTATCAACCACAAAGTCAAATATTTGCATACGAAATAATGTCTGGATGAATAGAATTCTTGTGCTCAGCAGATGAAGGGCGAAAGATTGCTATTATTAGTGTTTTTTTAATTTACAGCCCTGTCAAAATTATGTGAAAATATTCCTCTCTAAAGAACTATTCTAGAGAGTCATTTTATACAAAGTGGGGTGTGTGTGTGTGTGTGTGTGTGTGTGTGTGTGTGTGTGTGTGTGTGTGTGTGTAGGGAGTTGCTCATATAGGTTTGCTCAGAGCTTTTCTGGTGCCATCTAATAAACTTGAGTTCCATGTAAGTGGTGGGCTACCACCAGAAAGCCCTGACTTGAAACAGATTTCTAGCGGCAAGGCTGGGATTAAAGATGCATGTGACAACAGGCTTCAAGGAGAGGAAAAATCCACTCATAATAAAAAGGTCATCAAGCCTTAATTGTAAGAATGTCTCTGACTCTGAGGACATTTCTTTCCACCAAAAACCCCCACTAACACTCATGACTTAATGTCCTCACTTAAGAAATGGAAGACATTAAATTAAATTTTAATTTATATTCCACTTTTATGTCTGTTTTCATCGTCCCTCTGATGCAAACTGTGTGCCGAACAATATAAATCATAGATCTCATTTCCACCCGACAACCTCATCAAACGAAAAGGTGATGATGAAATCTTATTTCGAAGCCAAGAGAGAGTAATAAACACCAGTACTTTTCAGATGCACATTAAAAATAATCCTTTAGGACTTCCCTGGTGGTGCAGTGGTTAAGAATCTGCCTGCCAATGTAGGGGACATGGGTTCAAGCCCTGGTCCGGGAAGATCCCACATGCCGCGGAGCAACTAAGCCCGTGCGCCACAAGTACTGAGCCTGTGCTCTAGAGCCTGCGAACCACAACTACTGAGCCCGCGTGCTACAACTACTGAAGCCCACGAGCCTACAGCCCGTGCTCCACAAGAGAAGCCACCGCAATGAGAAGCCCGCACACCACAATGAAGAGTAGCCCCTGCTCGCCGCAACTAGAGAAAGCCCATGTGCAGCAACGAAGATCCAATGCAGCCGAAAATAAATAAAATTTTTAAAAATCCTTTAAATTTCTTTGAAAGTAGCATCATTATTTTAAGTTAGAGCACAATTACCGACGGGAAAAATAAACCCAACACAAATGAAATCTTATACTATTTTAGTAATTTCAGTGGAAAACAAAACAAGAATTGGGTTTCTTCTGGGTTTACAGTGGCCCATACAGTAAAAAGCCTTTTGTCAAGTGTTGATTCTCTCCTCATTAAGGAACTGCCTGAAACTGTATTCTTGGGTCAACTTACTTTTGCTTCTCCTAATTATATCTGTGTCTCAGGATCCACAACATGGATTTAAACAGACCCATGGTTAAATGTAAACAGATGTGGTGACCAGACAGTGCCCAGCTATTTGTTTGTCTGTAAAGTGGCAGAAATTGAACCTTTAATTAATAGGACTTGATTCTACCTAAATCCCTAATATAACTATTAAAATGTAGTCCCTTTCAATAAGATAAATGCCCAGATATTATTTTTAAAGATCCAACAATCAGTCCTCCACCAAGTCCAAATATCATGTACCTTAATGATCTGTTTGTTTTGAGAACCAATAAAAAGCACTGTTTCAACCAGATTCTCATTTCCTAAGTATCCCTTCAATGCATAAGTAAAGCATCATTCCAGATGAAAACTCATTAGTCAATCTTGGTCTTGCCGTAACTGGATATTCCTGCTTCTAATAAGGTTGGAAGAATACCACCTGGGTAACTTGCAACAACTTCCCGGTGCCCACATACTCCACTCTCAACATGCTGACAGTGCCTTTAAAGCCTCTGAGCAACATCAAAAACCTTATTATTTACTTATCTTGAAGCAAGTTCGCTTATCATCTAGAAAAGTTCTCAGAACCCTTCTTGTCTCTCTCCACCGTCTCTCACCTTTCTGAAGACTTCAAATAGAAGCAAGGCCTTGGCAACGAAATAATTTATCACATGGTTCAAATTACATTGGTGCTCTGGTACGAGTTTACCTATTATCTTGCACACAGATCTAAATTATAACCAGAGAAGTAGGAATTACCCCCTTCCTATATACAAATGATGTTTTTAAAAGGTCTACTTAAAAGCAGAATCTTTTGAAATCACTATATAATACTGAAAAACAGTATACATGTATTGTTAGTGATTCAGCTGTGTTGAAGTTCATGTTATATTGCTTCTTCAGATCTCTTATATTAACATTTAACCACAAATACTCTTTGTCAGATGCCAAGCACTGTGCTTGCCTATAGACTAAAAAGATGATGAATTCATAGTGTGTATAGACCAAAATATAAACGGATTCAATACAGACCAAATGACGAAATTGGATGCCCATTCAGGGGACCATATCACAAACCCAGTGAGAAGAATGGGGTTCATCTTTTGGAGGAGATGTCTGAAATGATCCGCTCAATCACAACTTTCCTTCTTCTCTGCAATGATACACCAGTTGCCATGATCATTCCCAGAGCTCAGAATATGGAGCTCCGACACACTGTCCTTCAGCAGGCCATAGAGCTCGCCTTCTCGAAACACGTGGTAATAGCGCATAAAGGCACCAGATTCCAAAATGTCGGGCTGTTGTTCTTCGACAGAAATGGTGTCACCTGGGTTGGAATCTTTGGAATCAGCTGCAGAAATCCTCCTCCACATTTTACTAGCAGAAGGGGTACCCTCTTCTAAGTTACCTGCATCCGTACAATTCTCCCTGCTATTGGTGCTACCCAGAAAATTCCCATCTCCATTTCTCCTCACGCCTCTTGGATGGTCTCCATTTAGGTGTTTGTGTGTGGCGGGCGCTCTCAGCCATTCCAGGTGTTTTTGAGAAGTCTCCACAAACACTTCCTCATCTAAATGTTGCTCTCCTGTTGAAAATGGCTCTGGATGATCTAAGTCGAAACTTGAGTGTCTTGAAGGCTGGGTGGATATCGTGCTATTGGCCCAACTTTCTGTGTTTTTCAAGGGTCTCATTTTTTCAATTTGCTTCCTCAGAGTTGATTCATCCAAAGATCTAGAGGAAAACCAGGAGCGAAAAGATTTCCCCAGCGTGTTATAGAATCCGTTTTCTTCCTCGCCTTCCTTGGAAATATTTGCACAGCAGGTGCCAGCTAGAGCAGAGTCACGGTCCACGCTGCGGGACCGCCTCGAATCACAGCGCCCCTTAAAACAAACGGGACAGCGACACGCAGAGCAGGGAGGGGGGTAGGGATGGCTTCTTTCTGGATGCCCGCACTGCTTCTTTCTCCCAGGCTGGCTGGATTCCGAGAGGGGCTGGGAGCACAAGGCTTTGTTCCATGGAACAAGCACATCTTGCTTCTCAAAGTGCCGGTTCTTTTGTTCCATGGCCCAAACATAAATCATCAGCTGGCCTCCAGGAACTAAGACCCTGGCCATTTCCTTTATTGCTCTGATTCTTCTTTGTTTTGTAGAAAAATGATGTATGACTGAAAAAGAAGAAACTAGATCTCAGTGTGTATATACACACGTAAACCTACACGTTTATAGGCTAGTATTTTCCATATAAAAATGATGCATCTTTTTTCCTAAATAAAGACTTTTATTAGAATTATATCACAACTGTTTTCTGGGTGGAAGAATGGTAAAGAGAGAGGTATGCTTTCCTTTTTAAAATTTTATATTGGACATATATACACTACCAAACGTAAGGTAGATAGCTAGTGGGAAGCAGCCGCATAGCACAGGGAGATCAGCTCGGTGCTTTGTGACCACCTAGAGGGGTGGGAGAGGGAGGGTGGGAGAGGGAGGGTGGGAGGGAGGGAGACACGAGAGGGAAGAGATATGGGAACATATGGATATGTATAACTGATTCACTTTGTTATAAAGCAGAAACTAACACACCATTGTAAAGCAATTATACTCCAATAAAGATGTAAAAAAAAATAATAATAAAATAAATAAAGTTCAAAAAAAGAATTTTATATTGGAGTATGGTTGATCAACAATATTGTGTTCGTTTCAGGTGTACAGCAAAGTGATTATACATATACATGTATCTATTCTTTTTCAAATTCTTTTCCCATCTAGGTTACCTATTACAGAATATTGAGCAGAGTTCCCTATGCTATACAATAGGTCCTTGCCGGTCATCTATCTTAAAACATGGCAGCGTGTACATGTCAATCCCGAACTCCCTAACTATTCCTTCTCCCCACCCTTCCCCGCCCCGGTAACCAGAAGTACATTCTCTAAATCTGTGAGTCTGTTTCTGTTTTGTAAATAAGTTCATTTGTATCATTTTTTTAAAAAATTCTACACATAAGTGATATCACATATTTGTCTTTGACTGACTTCACTTAGTATGATGCAACTTTGACATGTAGTGATGACTGCTTATAGTTTTTAATAATGTTAATATAATATGAAATTGTGTATACTTAAGAGAAAGCAGCTTATAGGTCATCATTTTACTTGCAGTCTCTGCAAAGTTAAAGTGAGAGTCAAGCAGGACTGCCTGTATCTAGTCTTAGGTGGGTTATTAGGCATATTTTTATCAAACAGTATACAGGAAGCACTGGTCTGTTAGCTTCTAGAGTTTAATCACACTGTGCCAAGAGAAAACATCAAATTATTTTTCCACACATATGCCTGTCACTTATCTCAGGTAGGAAATTAGCTCTCAGGAAAGTCTGGACACTACTGCTCAGATATGAGTAGTGAGGGAACAGAGAAGATTAAACAGCTCCTGTAACCTCAGCATAATCCAGACGTTAGTAATGGTTTCAGGCAAATAAATCTCTTTAGTTTACCTGCCACAGAGAGATAGTAAATGCCTAAAATGAGATGATTATATGGCTAAAGGTGTCAAAGGAAGATTATACAAGAGGCACACTTTGTATTGTTCCCAATCAGGTTTGCTTTCCTATCAGCAGTGCACAAACCCTTGTTTCTCTTACTGTACCATGAAGCAGTGCGAGAGGTATTAGGTTCAAATGCATTTAAAGAACAGGACACCAGTGTATTTTGTCCTAGATCTACCAGTGACCAGCCTTGTGATCTGTGACCAATTACTTTACTTCACTAGGTGTCAGGCTGTTCTCCCCAATCCCCATCCCCAAAGAAAGGGCCCTTTATAATGGTCAGTTTGAAAGCTTACACTTCTCGAAGTAGTGTCGTGGTCAATGAGCTACAAGGGGGCAGAGAAATCAGGACTGAGTAAGGCTTAGGACAGTACTAACGTTCACATCTATGACTACTCCTGGCCGTTAGTGTCCCCCATAACTTGCACCTCATTCACTCTGGAACTTCCATGGCTGTGTTTTCTAAATGCAGGTGATCCTCGTCATCTGTGGATTCTGTATCTGCAAATTTGCCTACTTGCTAAAATTGTCTTGTGACTTCAGAAATCAGTACGCTCAGCATTTTCGTAGTCATTCCTTGACATGCATAGAACAGCCAAAAAGTTGAGCCTCCCAAGGCACACGTTCCCAGCTGGGGTCCAGCGAGGAGATGCTCTGCCTTCCTGTCTCAGCTCTGGTGCTGTCAACAAGTGTCCTTTTCACAGTCTGTTTCGTGCCGTGTGTTTTCGCATTTTGGTGTTTTGTTGGTGGTCTCTCTGTTGACGATCCCTCACAGCCCTGCCCCAGCACAGGGTGGAAGTGCTGTCTAGGGTTTGTAAGCCATAAGGCTGCAATGTGTCTTATAGAGAAAATATGTGAGTTAGAAGAGCTCCTTTTGGGTGTTATAGTGCTGCTGGCATGAGTTCAAAATTAAATAAGTCATCTTTAAACAGAAACACACATAAAACAAGATGACGTGTTGATTAGTTGACAATAGTATTGTGACCAGAGGCTTACAAGAACCTAATCCTATATTTCCCCTGGGAGCAATGGTTCAGTATTTGTTAATTCAGTGTTCATGGGACATTACAGAACATAACCACGGTGAATAATGAGAATCGACTGTATTCTTGTGTTTTGGCCATTAAACAAAAACCGCCATTAAACCAGGACTATTTTAATACAGTAATTTCTTTTTATCAGATTTATAGGTCTTCAACATTTCAGGATTCTTGGCTTCAGAGTTGGTTTTTTTTAAAAAAATATTTATTTAGGTATTTGTCTGTGCCGGGTCTTAGTTGCAGCACGCAGTATCTTTAGTTGCGGCATGTGGGATATAGTTCCCTGACCAGGGATCAAACCCGGGGCCCCTGCAGTGGGAGCGCGGAGTCTTAGCCACTGGACCACCAGGGAAGTCCCCAGAAATTTTGTTTTTAAGGAAGAACATCTTTATATTTTTCATTCCTGAAATATTTGTTATGCGATAATCCATTTTAATACCATAATTTCACCCAGGAAATATCCGAATCTTTCATATTATATTTTATATTTAACAAATAATACTAAGTAACTTTTAAGCCAAATGCTTTTGAAAAAGAAAAAAATTTACAAATGAAGTTTTCATTACATATAAAATGTATTATACGTGCCTATGCATACATGTTCTATTAAGAAACATTGTAAATGTAACCCAAATGGGACCTAAACATATATTTATATGAATTTTATCAATGTCAGGAAACTGTGTTGAATTTTAAAGGATAAAAATGTCCCCTGTTGTTTAAAAATCATAATCACAATTTAAAGGCAAAAGTAGTACTCAGTGTATGTATCCTGTAGGATAGGGTGTTGAATTGAACAAGTGGGTAGGTAGAATTCAATGACTGGACTCCAGAATCAGAAATTACACAAGATCATCTTTAAAGTCCTGTTATATCTTGGGATTTTATGATGTATTGTTATTTAATTTTTCAAGGGTGTTTGTCTCATCTAACTGGAAGCATTCAGAATCCGTGGGCTTAGCATGAAGCAGAATTTTTCAACCTCAGCATTGTTGGCGTTTGTAAACAAGCTAGATGATTCTTTCTTGTGGGAGCTGGGGAGGCAGCAACTAGATGACAGCAGCACATACACATAACCAGTTGTGACAACCAAAAATGTCTCCAGACATTGACAGGCATCGCCTGAGGGTGGGGGGCAGTGTAACCGCGAGTTGCGAACCACTGGCACGAATAGTTGGTTGACACTATTTCAACAGATCAACAAATTTTTATAAAATTTTGGTCATACTATACTTTTTTTAAACATCTTTATTGGAGTATGATTGCTTTACAATGGTGTGTTAGTTTCTGCTGTATAACAAAGTGAATCAGCTCTCCAGACACATGTCATACTATTCTAAAGGTAAGCAGAAAGACTGTTTCTTTTTGTAATCTGTGAGTAAAACATTAGGAATGTATAATTAGGTATGATGCGTACTGTCTCATTATTAAGTGACATGGAAAACTATATATTTAAAACTATATTTCTTCATGTTAAGCAAGAAATGCCAACATACAGAATTCTAAATAGCGAAGTAAATATATATGGACATAGGAGAGATGGTTTATTGAAAGTTCTCATAATATAGTTCTAAATGTAAAATCTAATTGGAAATTGACTGCACCACGTTAATTTATAGTTACAGTTCATAAAAACACATGTTGGGTTTCCACCTAAGGAAGCATTTTTCATTGGAAGATGGCAACCAGGTGTGCTCCATTTCCTCTGTGGGCAGGAGACTTAAACTGAAAGAAAAGAAAGACTTAACCATGTACAACATGGAGCATTTCCCCAAAGTAAGAAAGTTGGTCAGTAACCCCACGCCTGCAACAGTGGTTCAACAGCACAGCCTCTTTGTAGGTAGCCAGCTGTATAGACTCTACAACTAAAGTAAACAATAGAAGAGCAAAAAAATACACTTCTCTGACCTCCCTCCAATTTCTGGTTCTTTAGGTGGCATGACCAAACCAAAAATTCTTCCTACTAAGGATTCAGAGCATTGTATAGTGTTGCTTGGTTCAACAAGAATCCTTTCTCTTAATGCTTAAAACCAAATGGACTTAACAGTTTCAAACTGTTAAGCAAAGAAGTAGGGCTGTCAAAGAGCAGGTTTCCATGGCAACCACCTCCTGCCAGTCCTAACTAGTTCCAAGGTTATGGCATCCAAGCCGGCATCCCCTCACTATGTAAAGATACAGGCCCCAGCTAATGGTGGAAATACCGATTTCTCATCTAGTCCAGGACGGAGCAAACAGTCTTATTCCATATGTTTATCTGCAGTCAGTTTTATATAGATTCACCTTGCTTTGATAAAGCTTGTTATATTCAAATACATTAATTTTTTAAAAGTGTGTTGGAGGAAATAATTTGCCCTGCAAAAGATTTTTCACTTTGGGAAAGGATTTGCCACAAGATTTCCTTAAATAACATGATTCCCCAGCATACTTAAACATGACTAACAAACTAATTTTCAGGACTATATGTATTGAGTAAAATGACCCTTACCTGTGTATATTTCAATCATGGATTTTTGCTGTTTCTTTTCATTTTTGGCATGTATGTCTTATGGGCACACTTGTTGGGAGAATATGAGGAATGTATTCCCTAGATTTATGAACAATCTCTGGCAGTAAGAGAGCAGAGTGGCACTATAAAAGCAATGCAATCTGGGACCAGGTGGGACCATCTTCCCCAGCGGCTTTTGTACAGTGAGTGGCAGGTTGGTGACACATCCTTCCAGTGACATTCAGTGCTTTAGTCCTACAATATTCTGCTAATAAAGGGCACACCTGTGGCCTGGAAAAGGTAATATGACTTCTAAAGATCTACTTCACGTTGAAAGAATCTGGCTTCATTTCAATAGAACAAAGTACTATTTTCAATGAGTACAATTCCTCCAATACTTTCTTACTCGTAAGTGAAAGAAATTGGAATGAGTCATCAAAAAGAAGAAAACAACAGTTTGAGGGTTGAACTAGTAAAAACAATCATATGTACCACCATAAGTACATTTGAACTTAGTTAAATAGTTCAGTTGCAATATTTTAAAAAATTAGATAAAATGAATTACATAGATCTTTCTACAAAGAATGGATGTTGAGTTGTGCGAGCAGCCTCAACCAGGTAATGTTATTCTCATGGTGAAGAGTGAATGCGTGACGGGGCTGCCTTACCTCCTATGGAGATGATGGCGTCGAAGCCCTGATCCCTAAAGGGGAGATTAAGGTTGTCACATACCATGACTTCACATCCTCTACTCCGGGCAATCTCTACCAATGGCGCACAGTAGTCACAGCCCAGGGTATGTACCTGGCTGTTCACTTTAAGATACTTTCCAGTTCCACAGCCTGTAAGAGAAAAACCTGTGTTAACACACTATCCTTAATGGAAAGTGGAACATTGTCGGTTACTTTGTCTTATCACAGGGAATAGAAATAACTTGATACAGGCAAAGCTCGGAGATGCTGCGGGCTCCATTCCAGACCATTGCAATAAAGCGAATGTCACAATGAAGCGAGTCACATGACTCTTTTGGCTTCTCAGTGCATTTAAAAGTTACATTTACACTATACTGTGGTCTGTTCAGTGTCCAACGGCATTATGTACGAAAACAATGTACATACCTTAATTTTAAAACAGTGTATTGCTAAAAAATGTTAACCATCATCTGAGCCTTCAGCAAGTCATAATGTTTTTGCTGGTGGAGGGTTTGAAATACTGTGAGAATTACCAAAATGTGACACAGAGACACGAAGTGAGCAAATGGTGTTGGAAAAATAGCACCAATAGACTGGCTCAGTGCAGGGTTGCCACAAACCTTTAGTTGGTACAAAACACAATACAGAATCTGGGAAGTGCAATAAAATGAGGTCTGCCTGTATTAACTAACCAAGACAGAACACAACATGGATTGAAGGTACACACAAAAACAAAAAGAAAAGCCTTCAGAGAGCACATACATGTTTTTATATAGGAGATAAGAGGAAACGAAAATGGGAAAAAGAAATATTATTTATTGAATATTTAATGAGGTCATGTCCATAGGGCTTTCTTAACAGGATAGCACAATCAAGAAATGTCAGCTGGCCTCCAGCAGAGAATAATAGTTCCCTAGGATCTTAGTGACAAGGTCCAGTCTCTTTACAAAAGTTACCTTCACACACATATTTCATTATGTTTAGGTCTACATGTTCTGGGCATTTATTCTTGTGTTATCTTGCCAAACCTTCATCACTTGCTGGCTATATAAAACAGACTACTGTCAACAACTTTTCAATGGGTATAGATAAAATAACTCACACAATAAAACAGGCCTTTCAAAAATTTAAAATTTGAATTTGAATGAAAAAAGGATTTCAGCGTCTTTTTATCCAATCTGGTGTCAGTGCTAGGTTTTAAATGATCTCTATTAACTCTGAATACAACTCTGACAAAGAACTATTTTTTCTTAAATAGACCATTTTTAAAAAATATATTTGTTTGTTTATTTGGCTGCACCGGGTCTTAGTTGTGGCACACGGGATCTTTAGTTGCAGCATGCAGGATCTAGTTCCCTGACCAGGGATTGAACACGGGCGCCCTGCATTGGGAGCTCGGAGTCTTAACCACTGGACCACCAGGTAAGTCCCATAAATAGACCATTTTTGACATTCACTTTCTGGTGGCAGAGACCCAAGTAATTCAAGATTTACACAGACCAAAGATTTAGATCAGTCAGATCTCACAGATATTATGGTGAAGAAGGTAGTAACGTAAAGGAATAATCATCTTGAAACAAAGCCTTCTGTGATCTAGTACCTAGTATTTTATTCTAGCACAGACATATCTATTTCTTTTTTCAGAAATATTTAAAGATGTCATTAGAGTTGATATCCCTACCTGCTGGCATTAGCTCTAAATTTTTTTGCCTGAAAAATATCTACCACTATTCAAAGATGATTAGTTTGCTGCTTTAGAAATACATCTCAACACTCTTTGATAACTCCTCCTTAATAGGTGCTATTCAAAATTATGAGACACTAAAAGCATAATTAAGATTCATTGGTGCCAGCTGAGACAGTGGAGAGCTTGTGAATAAAAACTAAGATTTCCAGCTTCATTATTTCAATGTAAATGATTGAGGTCTTGGAAATATTTTAGATTTCGTAGCCACTGTTCCTAAGAATGCTTTTGCAATAAAGGATCCAATATTTGAGGGCAATCATGGGGAAGATATAATTCACAAAGTATTTTAAAATTGAAATCCCGAACATTTCAAAGACGATGCTCATATTTTAAGAAAAATCATCTTGTAAATTTTTTTGCTGTTTTGAACTGGCTCAGGGGATACATTTAGAGAAATGAAAGGGAAAATTACTTCAAAGACACTAATAAAAACAGGTTCATAGAACATTGGAGCTAGAGGGACATGTTCAGAGAGCATCTGGTAACAATGAGGAAACTGAGGTCTTTTCAGATCTCATCATCTCCTGAAACGTTTCCAGTGCCCCTGATACCTTTGATATCCTGTATTTGTTTCTCTCTTTTTTTTTTATTTGCAGCCATGCCGCGAGGCTTGTGGGATCTTAGTTCCCCAACTAGGGACTGAACCCGGGGCCACGGCAGTGAAAGCACCGAGTCCTAACCACTGGACTGCCAGGGAAGTCCCCTGTATTCATTTCTAATGGCATTCATTTTTAAGGATAGTAATGGAACTCCTGAATATGATGCAATTATCCATTTTCAGAGTGCAGACACCGAGATGCTAGAGAGGGGAGATTTTATCCTAATGAGGAAATCAAGAATACTGCCAAGGCTAGTCCCTCATTATCTTAAACATGCAAGAAATAAATCAGAACATTTTTGATACTGCAGCTCCTGTACACAACAGTCATGCTCCTTTACAAAATCTCAATGATAACCTTCTGTAGTACTGCAGAGATACAATAGCAAGTGTCTGCATGCTTCTGTTCCCCTCTATTTTGTATTCTGCACCTCACTACAACTAAGGAAGAAAACAGATAACCGCCTCAATTCGACAAGATATTTTGGCCCATGGTGGGCGAGTATTGGCTAGAAATAATTAATCTGAATGTTCCCTCTGAAGTTTGCAGAAAGAACTACATTTTATAAATTAAGAGTTTTTTGCTAAGATCTTATCTGAAAGAGAATTCTCTTTTTCTATGGGAAAAGGAAGAACATAGCCTATTTATTTCTCCTTTTATGTACATCTTTTGAAGTCAGAGATGAGGCAATATGTTTTATTCTGCAGGCCTGGTGCCTGCCATTTAGTAGGAGCTCTAAATGTTTATTGACTTAGAGAAGGAATGGTAATTAGAGAATAACTTAGCAAATGAAGTCTGACCATAGAATATGGGAATAAATAATTGAGAGTTAAAAGGCAAGAAGAATTTTAATTCTTGAAAAATTAATTTTAGTTATACAAAAATAAAAATTTCAATACTATTAGGATAGTTGTCTCTGATGTCACGTAAAAAGGTCACCTTGCTCAAAAAAGAATCTAGTTCTAGTCTTTATTCTGCTTCCTAAACTAATCCAAGTAAAGCCCTCAAACCACAGAACACCTTCCATGTATCATCTTCTTCTTTTTTTAAATGTTACAGTCCATTTTTATTCATAATTGATGAGTTTAATACTTGCTTGAATTGAGAGAAATATGGGTTTTATATATATAGGGATAAGGTTATAATAAAATGGTTTGGTTAACCAAATGTGGTTCAGTTTTATTTTTTATTTTATTTATTTATTTTTTTTGCGGTACGCGGGTCTCTCACTGTTGTGGCCTCTCCCGTTGCGGAGCACAGGCTCCGGACGCGCAGGCTCAGCGGCCATGGCTCACGGGCCCAGCCGCTCCGCGGCATGTGGGATCTTCCCGGACCGGGGCGCGAACCCGTGTCCCCTGCATCGACAGGCGGACTCTCAACCACTGCGCCACCAGGGAAGCCCATTTCATTTTATTTTAAAAAAATGTTTTTGGAGTATAGTTGATTTACAATGTTGTGTTACTTTCTGCTGCACAGCAAAGTGAATTAGTTATACATATACATGTATCCACTCTTTTTTTTTTAGATTCTTTTCCCTTATGGGCCATTACAGAGTATTGAGTAGAGTTCTCTGTGCTATAGAGCAGGGTCTTATTATTTATCTATTTTATATATAGTAATGTGTATATGTCAGTCCCAAACTCCCAGTTTATCCCTGGCATGCACCATCTTCTAATGGCCTTAAATTACTAGCCCATTTCAGGAAAAGGTATTGCCTTAATTGCAAAGATCACAGGATTTCCTGAGGGTACTTTGCATTTCTGCTGTCTTTGAATCATCAACGCTCTTCATATTTAAACTACAGCTCCTGCTCACTTCATTCCTGATACCTGCCCTGAAGAGTCAGGTTACATCAGGAGCCATTATCACACACCTCAGCAGATCAGCTGGGAGTGGGGTGATGTGCTTATTAATAAAATCTAGCCAATAAAAAAATCGCACCACTAAAATAGCGAAGCAGCTAGATGATTCCTGTGTGGGCAACTGGAACCCGATTACCTCTGCATCTTTTTTACCTATGCAAAGTTTTATTAGTCATTAATTATAAATTGCTAATCTAATAACCAGTCAAATTAAACTGTTGATGATTTTACCTAAGTGGAAAACCTAGAAAGAAAAAATATTTCCTTTTGTAGATAGTCATATTGTTCTACTTCCTTTTTTTTCTACTAACCCCTTTGGGCTTCTTTCTTTCCTTTTCATTGATTTCTTCTTCATTTCAATTTTATTTTAAAACTTGTCTTTCACTGTATAATCAAAATATTCTTATTTACTTATTGAGGGGTAAAAAGTGTAAATAGTACAAAAATCAAAAGATACAAATGGGTAAAATAACATTTACTAGATATATTTATTGATTTGCACAGAGGTACTTAAAGAATATTATTTGTGCCATAATTTGTAGTAGCAAAATGTAGCAAACAACAAACATATCTGTTGGTATGGTGTTATCAGCATAGAAGGCTATGCGGCTTTCAGTAGTTAGCAGCTCTATGAGAACAAACATGGAGTGATCTCAATATAAAAGAAACGAGCTAGGTGTATAGCAGTTTGTATAACATACTAATTTGTGTAATTGAAAAAGGGAAATCCACCCATGCACACACTTATATGCACAAATATGCTTATATTTATGTGAAATACCTCAAGAAGGTTATACAAGAAGCTAAGAGCATGGTGCCTCTGATGTGGGTTACTTGGTGCTGGAAGACTGGGATGAGAGAATATTTTTCACTGTACATTTTTTTTGTACCTTGTTGTTAAGCTATTTAAATGGTTTACCTATCAAAAATATTTTAGGGGCTCCCCTGGTGGCTCAGTGGTTGAGAGTCCGCCTGCCGATGCAGGGGACACGGGTTCGTGCCCCGGTCTGGGAAGATCCCACATGCCGCGGGGCGGCTGGGCCCGTGAGCCATGGCCGCTGAGCCTGCGCGTCCGGAGCCTGTGCTCCGCAATGGGAGAGGCCACAACAGTGAGAGAACCGTGTACCGCAAAAAAAAATAATAAATAAATAAATAAAATTTTTTTAGGCAATTTGTATTCCCCCCATTTTTGAACTGTTTGTTCATATGGTTTCATCATTTTGCAGGGGGGTTGTTGGTCTTTTTCATACTGACTTTGAAGAAGGCTCCACGGAGTAAGAAAATTATCTATTTTTCCATCAGATATATTGCAGATATTTTTACCTAGTTTGTTTTTGGTTTTTTACTTCATTTATATATTCGTCTAGAAATTTGCCTTGTAGAACCTTTTAAATTTTATGTTGTCAAAAATACCAACGCAATTAATCCTCATTACTCACAGACTCTGTATCTGCCTCTTCACCTAACTGCTAAAGTTTATTTGCAGGGCCCAAGTCTGTACTGGCAGCGCATGCGTGTAAAGCTTTAAACAGAAACACACGTGAAACAAGGTTAGGTATTGATCAGTAGACAAAAACATTGTGACCACAGGCTCCTAGGAACCTAATCCAGTATTTCCCCTAGGGCAATAACTCAGTATTCACTAATTCAGGGTTCACGGAAACTTTATAGAACCTAACTACTGTGGATAATGACAATCAACTGTATTTTATTTTATGACTTCTCCCTTCTTTTGTGTCATACATTGAGAGGCCTTTTGCTTTTGAGAATTTTTTTTTAAATTATATAGTCATCATCTAGTCCTTTAATGAATTCATTTTCTTATACTTAAATCTTTGCTCCATTTGGAATTTTTGGTGTAAGGTATGAGAAAGTAGCATATATATTCTGTTGTCCCCAAACCTTTTCCTCCCAACTGATTTAAAATTCTGGTACTTTGCTTATATTATGAGTGGTAAGAGTTCCAAACTCACTGCATTTTATGAAACCAGATTTTTTTTTAAAGTTGACATGATAGAGATGTTTTTAAAGACTCTCCACTTCTACGTGACATGTACCCCTTCCCCAAATTCTACACTGCTCGCACCATCTTTAACAAGCCAAAAGCCCTGGGCACATCTGTTTCTCTTACCAAAATTTAGAGTGAATGTCAAATTAGACGGAACTTGTAACTGTAGACTTACGATTCTTACGGTGCCGTATGCATGTAATTGCTAGAAAGCAGTTTTAAGTGGGCATGCTTCAAATAGGAATCCTACCATGTCTTAAAACTTAATCTTAGATCTCCTGGGCTGTGATTTACCACTTCTAGATTCCAAAAGATACTGAGCCAAAGTCCTCCAAGCAAATCATTATTTGCTTGATTATGAAGATATGATCTAATTAAAGATATGCTCTAATAATAAGACCCCTAAGGAATAGTTAAGGGAAAGGATCCATGAGATTCATAAGAGGTTACAGGACCTCTTCTATAATCTCACAATTCTGGCTCTTCTGTAGAAGGCGTGAGAGCTACTTAGCGTAAGCCGCCAAAACACTGTATTCACGAATGTGAATGTCTCTAAGTTTATTATTTTTTTAAATCATTCAGTGTTTTTTAAAGTATTTTTTAAATTAATTAATTTATTTTTTGGCTGTGTTGGGTCTTCGTTGCTGCGTGAGGGCTTTCTCTAGTTGCGGCGAGCAGGGGCTACTCTTCGTTGCGGTGCACAGCCTTCTCATCGCGGTGGCTTCTCTCGTTGCAGAGCACGGGCTCTAGGCGCACGGGCTTCAGTAGTTGTGGCACATGGGCTCAGTAGTTGTGGCTTGCGAGCTGTAGCGCGTAGGCTCAGTAGCTGTGGCGCACGGGCTTAGTTGCTCCGCGGCATGTGGGACTTCCCGGACCAGGGCTCGAACCCGTGTCCCCTGCACTGGCAGGCGGATTCTTAACCACTGCGCCACCAGGGAAGTCCACTCTGAATTTAAAATGGTCAATTTCACAAGCGGCCATTTCAATCCTGATTTATTCAAGCAACGTCAGGTTGATTTTTGTGGGAGGACGTGCACGAAGGCTCTGAAAAAATTGCCACTGTCTATATGTAGATTTGAGGGGTTTTTCTACTTTCTGGCTTGACTGTATGAATTTCTGCTATCAAGTGAATATTCCAGGTGCTGACATGCCAAGGACACAATTTCAGACTTCTGGTTAGAACAGAAATGAAAAATGAATCTGAAAAGGAAAGGCATGATGGAATATATTTCAGATTACGTGGCACCGCCCCGGGTTACCTATGTCAGCGATGAGGCTGCCAGGCTTCTGGTCCTGGAGGAACTGGCGGACACGAGGCCAGGCTTTGCTCTGCAAGTCGCTGAAGTAAGGAGCGGTGCTCTCATACACATCGTGCACGTGCTGCTTCTCCAGCTGGGCAGCTGCATGATCCATCCTGGGGAAAACAGGGTCACGCCAAGGAATGCAGTTCAGAGTAGGCACCAGAGATGGCTGATGGGGATGCAGATTTCCTAAAATTGGGAACTTAAAACTGCCAAGATTGTGTTGCTTTTATACTTTTTTTTTTTTTTCCTCTGGCCATGCCATGCGGCATGTGGGATCTTAGTTCCCTGACCAGGGATCGGAACCACAGCCCCTGGAAGCACGGAGCCTTAACCAATGGACCACCAGGGAAGTCCCTGTTTTTATACTTTCTTATAAGCTGCAAAGAACACAGCCTTCACTGGAACCTCACCAGAGTTGTCAAAAGGCTAGCAAATGCATCCTTCTTACCTGCACATCTTCAGAAAACAGGCATTTGGGAATGAGCTAATTATAGTATGTTTCTCTGAAAGATCAATTCTTTCAGAGAAAGGTTCACTTTGGATAAAATCGTTCTATCGGATGCTAAATAGATTTTAAATTTTCATAGCATGTCGCTCAGCACTCCAATCCAATCACAAAGCCCGATTGATTCTACCTTTTTAATTTTTTTGGATTCCAACCATTTCTCTATGTCCTACTGATTCTGTTTTAGAAAAGGTCCTCATTTCTTGCCTGAATTGCTTCAACAGGCTGTAAACAGTTTTGTTTGTCTGTTTGTTTGCCCTTCAATCCCTTTCCTTCAATTATGCCACAATTGTTTTTCTACAACATAAGTCTTACTGTGTTGCTTCCTATCTTAGACTTCTTCAAAGGCATTTTATAGCTTGTCTGATCAAGTTCAGGTATTTCAGGGGGCATACAAGGCTCTTTTTGATCTGGCCTCCATTTTCCTCTTGAAGCCATTTCTCACCGCCCTTCCCCAGCATCAGATGCACCTGTAATACTCAGTGATCGTGGCTTCTCAGGCATGACACAGCCCGTGTCATCCAGGGGCTGGACGGGTGCTGTGCATTACCAGGCGAACTCCTGTTCATCCTTGGCATAGGCATCGCCTCCTCCAGGAAGACTTCCCTGACTTCTATGCAGGATAAGGGCAATCAGAAAGGAGTGGGCAAAGTACAAGAGCAACTCTTAGAGGCCTCTGCTTATTTGGGGTTTGATCTTTTAATTATTGTGGCATGTGAGTGAGGAGTAGTATCCCAGGGAAGGGCTCAGAATGTGGCTTTTTACCAACCAATATGAAAGTATTTTTAATCTCTGAAGAACCCATTTGACCCTACTCGTGCATACCAGCTAGCTCAGTCCTGCCCCTTGTACTCCTGTTGCATCCCATGCATCCTCTACAGATTACCAAGGGCTGTAACAGTCTGTTAGATATTTTTCTCTAGCACTGGCTGGAAGATCCTAGATAACGAGGACTTATCTTACTTAACGCTGAATCCTCAGTAGTTAGCACACAGCAGATCTTCAAAAAATGAACAAACAAGCAAACAAACAACCAGAATGGACTCTGAGTACAGAGGGTAACATTGGCTTTGGTACAAGAGAGTAACCTGGGGAGTGTGGGAAGAGAGGGGACCCTACACCCACAAGCTTGTAGATGGGAATATGGTAAGAGAAGGTATCGTCCTTGCACAGCCTCTGTGTTCCCTCCATACGCCCACCCCCTCACTACTACCAGTCTAGGAAGTAGAAAGCACTTGGGTAAGATGACATCTGATTAGTTACTCCACTGTAAAGTGCCTGCCCCTCCGCCACCCCTCCCCGGCTTTCTATTTAAGAAATATGAGAGATACTTCGAGACCACGTAAATATCCTATTTCTCATCATCTCACTCCACTTTTAGCATACAATCCATTGATGCCTCTTTCCAATTGAAGTATAGTTGATTTAAAATATTGTGTTAGCGTCAGGTGTACAACATAGTAATTCAATATTTTTATAGATTATACTCCATTTAAAGTTATTACAAAGTAATGACTGTATTTCCCTGTGCTGTACAATGTAAACTTGTTGCTTATCTATTTTATACATAGTAGCTTATATCTCTTAATTCCATAACCCTCTTTTGCCCCTCCCCTTCCCCCCACTGGTAACCACTAGTTTGCTCTCTATATCTGTGAGTCTGTTTCTGTTTTGTTACATACATTCATTTGTTTTATTTTTTAGATTCCACATGTAAGTGAAATCATATGGTGTTTGTCTTTCTCTTTCTGACTTATGTCACTAAGCATAATATTCTCTAGGTCCATCCACGTTGCTGCAAATGGCAGAATTTCATTCTTTTTTTATGGCTGAGTAATACTATCACCAAATGATAATATTCTAATTCCATCATTCCCTCAACTGTGAGGAAGAGCTTTTCAGGATTTACTCTTAAAACAAACTAGCAGTAGATTATCCCTAATTACTACGGACCTGCCCACAGTCCCTGCAAAAAATCTGGCAAACTCCTGACAGAGTACAAATCTCATTTGTGATGTCTGACAAAACTTCCACCCAAACTGAAACAGCTTATATTGCACCCTCAACTAGAATTTACAAAGTAAACATATGGCTGGCTATAACTGCCTACACATGAGAAAAACCCAAACACTGAGCGCTTTTCTCTTTAATCAAAATCTCAGTAGACCTAAGTCTGTTTAAAACTTTCCCCCCTCAAGGAATCAATCAGGCAATACAGTCTTGAGAACCGTAAAACAAATAAATTTTAATACTTTATTGCACTTGCCAGTGTTAAGTGGCAATCAACATAAACTCGATTCCCCTCCATCGGGCTCCAACTACAAGCTCAGAATCTGTAGTATCTGAACAGCACCCCATGGAGACCTTTCTCTAAGTCTTCCCCCCAAGTTGCCCTCCTTCTACTATAAACAGGTAGCCTCAAAGAGCTATTATAAAGTGTGTGAACAATATAAATCCATTTTGTTTATTTTACACTTAAGATTATATTCTGCAGAGTATATAGCTGACCATGAAATTGATTTGTAGAGTTGGGGCCATCTAATATGACATTTTCAACAGTCTGTGGATTTAAATTTCCTGCAGTATACACATATGCAAATTCCTTGTGAATCCGGTAATATGACTAAGCTAGTAAGACTAGTACTAAAGTAGTAACATAGGGTTCAAGCTGGAGCTAGGCAGGTAGGGTTTGGTTTAGCCAGGCTTCTTAATCTGTGTGCTGACAAATTCCAGGCCTTGGAGCTGATGCCTTGTTGGTGAGTCACGAAAGAAGAGAAAGTAATTTGAAAGGGACAGAGAAGTCAGAACGTAATGCACCAAAAACTTGAAGAACTATTTTGGACTTTATTTTAAGTGCAATGGAAAGTGGTTCCTTGGAAAGCAGAAAAGAGGAGAGAATGTGCTAGGAAGTTAATAGGAGAGGTCAGTGGCTTGGTGTGTTTTCCATGGAGAGAGGAGCAAAGAGAGAAACATCAGCATTCTTGCTTCTAGCAACAGGGTGGTCAGTAACAGGTCACAGATGTTTGGTTTTCCTGTTCTGGGCATGTAACTAGGATAACACTTGTCTACCCAGCTTGATTCAGGCAAAGCCATGGGACTTGCTTTGACCATTACATGTGATCAGAAAAGATGTGAATCACTTCTGGGCAGAAGCTCTACGAGCCAGTGTGTGTCTCTGTGATCCTGGAAGCAACAGCCCAGGTCCCTGAGTGACTCCTCTTTATGGATGGACAGTGTGCATGTTTTAAGCCAAAAACAAGGGAACAAACAGCTCATCATAAAGGATCTTGATTATCTATCTAGATAATGAAAAAGTAAAAACTATCAATCATATTCTGTTAGAAGATAACTTGTTGCTATGTGAGTTTGTCCTGTCTTTTCTTTATGAATACTAATACTTTTTACTGTAGATAGAACAAAATTGGGAGAAAACAGAATACGGTTCTATATCCCACTTTTTTAAACTTAATTTAATATTGTGAGCCAAGGAAGGAAAGGAGAGAGGCAGGGAGAAAGGACACTAATATCTGTGGACCTGAAAGCGTGAAGGCATCAAGGTATTGCTGGAAGCGGTTTCTGTCAACGTGTGTGTGTGTGTATTTAACAGTAAGACATTAGTTTGAAAAAGAAGAGAATCTGTCAAAGGTAGTAGTGAAAAATAATTTTGGAGATCTAAGATTCGAGGGAATACGTAATCTCTCCCCAAGCCTGAGCCCAAGCATTTATGACCATTATTTACAATCCCAGACATTTCAGAGATTAAATACTTTTAAAAATTTCTGCTTACCCACTCTTCCTTTGAGGAACTGCACCTCTCTTTGGACTTCGAGTGATGCTGGAGCCTGCCAGTCACGTAGGACAGGGGTGGACACATGACCTAATCTAGGACAATCATTCTCTCTCCCCTGGGAAACTGACAAGAGGTAGTTGAAGTCAGATCACTAAAGGAAATATCCTCCAGTTTCTCCTAAGTCTTACGTTTCCTGAGGTTTGGTCTGCAGCTCTTCTGTTCTATCAGCTACTTAGTATACTCCCAACAAATCCCTCCTCTTGCTTGTTTTGATGTTTGCAGGCAAAGCACTTTATTTCAGACTTGAATTCATCTTCACGATCACCACATGGACGTCAGGGGGTGTCACAGTGGAAGAGATGCACTGTGGCCACCAGAGTCCCAAGAGGACTTGCCACACATAGATGAAAGGACTCTTGTTGGAGCCCTCTGGCAACAGAACATGGTGGGATGCAATGTCCTATTGGAACCAATGCTAGACTAAGAGAAGATCAGAGCTGTTGTCATAGTGCTGCCGTCTTTGCCACCTGTCCGTCTTTCTTTTCTGTGCTGCCACAACCTAGTATCTGAGCTGTTCTTACAGCTTTCTAGTTGGTCTCTCTGTCCCCCTTGCCTTCCTCCCACTTCTCACACCCGTCACCTCTAATATATCCATAATGCTGGGAGGTTGCAATACTCCTTTTCAATCACTGTTCACTTGGTGGAGACACCATACACTCCTATAGTAAAAGGCAACTGCAAAGACCACGTTGCATATGTGCTATTCTTAGCCGGATGGATGTAACTTGTAATTTCCCTCCATGAACCCAGGAAAAGCAGTTCAGAACCTCTAGTTCATGCCAATGCTGGATAATTTTCCTGTAATGTGCATTTGATAATCTCCCCTCTCTGTTGAAAACCCTTCAGGAGCCCTCTATGAGATGAAGCTTTCACTCTTCCATCTGGCATTCAAAAACCTCCATGACCTGGTCCCAGTCTAGCTTTCCAGCCATGTCCTATAACTGCCACAGCTCAAATTCTCAGCTCTACCCAAAGACCTCTACTCACCTTTCCCTGAGTGGGGCTTGTTTATAGCTCGTCGTTCAGGTCTTTGCTGAAGCCAGCAGGCTGTTCTTTCTCATCTGAAATGCTTCCCTTCCAAAATCTTACCTTCAAAGTCTAGCTCAGCCTCTTTCTCCTCCATAAAGACTTTAAGGATAGCTATCCATAAAAGTAATAATTTCTCTCCGTATTTCTATATACTGCATATTTATGGTCACTATCACTGTTAGAGCATTTCTCCTGATACTGTCTTGAACTCTCAACTTTGTATATGTTCCCAACTAGATTAGAAGCTCCTGGAGGGCAGAACTGAAATTTGATCTTTCTTTTATATATATCATAGTGCCTTCACTCAATAATTAACTGTAGAACTAATGAATCAGTGAGCTGTTTCCTTAGCTCCCTATGCAAGACAACAGTGCTTTCCTCCAGATAAACTGGTCCTCAGATATTCGGTCATAAATCATTAATCCCCTGGTAGGAGTCAAGAGGCACTCAGGAAGCAGGGCTAAGGCTGAGCTTTCCCGGTTGTGTTTCGTGTTTCATAATTTCCTTCCCTTGCAGAGGCCTGTTTCAGAGATACACCCTAGACACACAATAGTCACATTTTTATAACTAAAAACAAATATAAATAACTGTAAACTGTTCTCTTGTTATAAATGCCACAGAAGACACAATAGTTAAAAAAAGAGAATAGAACTGCTTTAAATCTCAAAGATAGATTCAAACTATAATTCTAAAGTGAAAATACAAATTGGTCTGGAAAGTTCAAAGACTTTACTTACATTATAAAAAGCCTTCATTATAAAACACATAGGTTTTTTTTAAACCTTTTAATATATGATACTTCAAATGTAACACCTACATATTATTTTCAAGTACAAATTATACTGCAACCTTTTTTTTTTTTTGCGGTACGCGGGCCTCTCACTGTCGTGGCCTCTCCCGTTGCAGAGCACAGGCTCCGGATGCACAGGCTCAGCGGCCATGGCTCACGGGCCCAGCCGCTCCGCGGCATGTGGGATCTTCCCGGACCGGGGCACGAACCCGTGTTCCCTGCATCGGCAGGCGGACTCTCAACCACTGCGCCACCAGGGAAGCCCATACCGCAACCTTCTGAATGATAGAAACTATCATTTCACAATATGCTTAAGTCCTAGAAACACATTTTGTTCTCTAATAAAACACAATAAGCTCCAGCTTACCTTATATCACATTGTCATAAATTTTAAATGAAAGGAATTGGGACTAATTGGGTTTCCCGAATGCGCTCATATGATGTGAATTGCTGGGACAGCTGAAAGCTGCTAACCTGAGTCATCTTGTGATTGCAGAAAATTACTTCTTGTCCTTGTGATTCATGGCAGTTTCCACCCTCAGAGAGTGATAGCTGTTGTACAGTTTTCTCCATGTGTAATGCAAATGCAAAGTAGTAGGCGTGGAACCAAACAGCGAGGCCCTTCACACGACAAACCACTCTGTATGAGCCTTTGAAGGGAATACCGGATCTATTAGGCAAAAAACAAATACGAAAGCTCATTTTACATAAGAAAAATATTGAACCAGCTACAGCCCAGGTTGACCTCGACAGATGCATAAATTACCCAGAGAAGAAGGGATTAGAAAGAACTGTTAATATATGAAACATGCCAGAACTATAAGAGTGGTTTCTGAATCAATTCCTCAGCTTTCTGTAGAACATACAGTACTTGCTCCCAAAATTAAATTGGATGATTTCATCTTGTTCCTCAAAAAGTTACAAGCACTGAGAGTCAACTTTGAATGCAGTGGTTTAATTAAATGTAACTGTTTAAGAGATATGACTAAGTGTTATTAAGTCATTCCAGTACAATTTAACTGTTCAATATTTGCTCATATCATCAGCTATTTCCATGTCCCTTTGACAAGTATTCCTAGTTACTCTTCGTTGTTCGCATTTACTTTTTTCTTTTTTCATAATAGAGCAGGTCTGTCATGAAGCTCATCAAAAGACTCTGAGTTACTTTTAAAAAAAAAAAAAAAAAGGACCTTGTATGACAGAAAGCACTTTGTAATGGAGAGGTCTTAGGATGTAAAATGAGGTCTGAAGAGATGTCTGGTGCGGTAGGAAAAGCCCATCCTGTAACACCTGGGGCCCTGATTCCTTACCTGTAAATGAGGCCCGTGGACTTTAATCTTGATCATAGTTCTCAACCATCTTCCTCAGTCTTCACATCCTTCGTGTGTGCACCTCAGTGCCACGAACTGTACCCCTTTATTACAGTGATTCTCAGGATGGTCCCCAAACTCCCCCGAGCTCCCCATCCACCCCACTCTTGGTCCCTCTTTAAGAAGCACTGATTTGGGTGTGCTTTGGAAAGCTTCTGTCTGGTCTTCAGAATATGCATATACATTTTAACATGTTATCTCTCATACCTGTGAGACATCTCTCAGTCATATGCAGGTATACAATCTGTACCACTGAGAGCCACAAAGCTTGGCTTTTTAGGAAGAACATTTAGGAAGAGTCTTGAAAGAGCTACTAGCCAAAAGATCTCATCTTTCCTTTTGCAATTTTAGAGCCTGCCTTAATCATAAAGAAGATGATGTTGTCGTCTGAGCCTCCATGCTAGTGGCAAAGCTAAAGGCTGTCCCCTGGGATTCAGCCTTCCTGCCCTGACCTAAGGGCTGCTTTGTCACCAGCCTCCCTGGCTGTCTAAGCACCTTTCCTTCAGGCATTAGTGCCCAAATGCATTCACCCTCTCAGATATGCCACTGAGGACAGAGTGTTCCAAGCCTTAGTCACAAAGTGTAGTGAATGAAAAGAATTTCAGAGAGTGCAGCAGGCATGTGTGAGCTGCTCGGGTGAAAGCAGGGGTGGGGAACTTTTCTTATATATCCCCAAATCATAGCCCCCAAACACCTATAATTGACTTTCTATAAGTTTTCTAAATTATGATCCAAATTTGCCTCTCTTGAAAACGAATCATGTTAACTTTTCCAAGAAGTTGCTGGGCAAAGACAAAATAGGGTAGTATCTATCTTTTAAAAAATTGAATTCAAATGAGTCCTTTTACTTTATCAGCCATACATCTCTGGAGTATTTAGTATTAAAAAATGCATTCCTCCTCCCTTTCTCCTTGAATAAATGGGAAACTGTCCTTGAGGGCAAAGGTGACTCAAACCTTCTGAAATTTTGAGGTTAACCATGTGTGTATATTTTCCTGGGAAGAGGGTCAGCACCTCAAACTGTGGCTCAGGGGCAAAGTCAGTTTTAGGGTAAAAATCTATTAAATTAAAAATACGCATTCATTCACTCAGTAAATATTATTTAAACCTCTGTTATATAAATATAAGGCACTAGGGATAAAGGTTTTTTTAAGTCCCCCAATTTAGGAATCCAAAACTTAATACGGGAAACATACAAAGAAATAGAAAATTAAAATATGGTAGAACCTTTACTATCGGTATGGATACATCCCGAGAGCTTCTGAGCTTCTGAATCCCCAAGCTACTTATGCCTTGCCTTATTTTGTCTATCGATCTATAGATAGACTGATTGATTGATAGATAGAAAGATTAACAGATAAAATAAACCTATTACAAATTACTACCTCACGGACCTTTGGGCCATCACAAGTATTTAAGACCACAAATGCCAAGAGCCCACATCTGGTATGATGAATATTATGATCCAGGTGTGCACAGGTGCTATAGGAGCACGTAGGAGGGGCAACTCATTCAGCCTGGCGGGGGGGGGGGGGGCGGGGGGGCGCATGTGAATGCTCCCTTGAGAGACTGACAACCAAGTTGGAGCTCCGAAGACAGTAGGGGTAAGTCAGGTAAAGTGGGAGTGGATGATTCTAGCCATAGGAAGCAGCATATACAAAAAAAAAAGAAATGAGACTAATTATGATCTTTGATGAACTTAAGTAACTTAACAATAATAGCAAGACACACATACATGTACACACAACATATATTATTTACTACCATCCAGGGCCTGTTATAAGCATTTAACATATATTAACTCATTCAATCTACCCAATAACTACATGAAACAGGAACTATCTTGTCCCCATTTTATAGACAAGAAAACTGAGAACATAAGTGACTTTCCAAGGTCACATAGCAGAGCCAGGATTTGAAACCAGATGGTTAGATTCCAGAGTTCACAGTCTTACCTAGACAGTCGACAGGGAGGGAGGGAGGAAGGGAGGGAGGGAGGAAGGACAGGTGATGCTGTAAGAGTATGTAGGAGTCAGACCACATAGGACTTGTTTAGCTTTCTAAGGAGTTAGATTTTATCCTGGACATAATGGCGAGCCATAGAATTATGTCAATGAGAGAAATGACAAAATCTGATCTGGTTTCCAGAAATCTATGGCAAGAGTGTAGACTAGTATTTCCTGGACAGGTTCACAGAGAAAGAACCTAGTTAAATACTTTAGACAAAGAATGATATCAAGGATGCTTAGGAGGGGGAAAATCCAAGAGATATTAAGGAGAGAGCATCACATTAATAGGACTTGTTGAAGAGTTAAGGCAAAGAACACACTGAAGAGGAAGCAGGGATACTGATAAGGCTGATCCTGTAAGATCTACCACCTCCATCCTAAAATAAAGGGAGAGAGAGAGTGAGAATGAAAGGCAAACAAAAGGAAACTTTGGTAATGACCATATATAAACTGTGACAGACGCTTCCTTTGGAATGCATGTGAATACAGCCAGAGAAGCTTCCTTAAGATGTATGCATCTACAGGAAAGAGGCTATAAGAAGGACTAGGTGTTGTAACGGAATTGCCACAGTGATCAGTAACACATTATATTTTATAGTATGGCCCGGGCTGTTTGTATATATTCCTTATGTTCTGTAATTGATGGCAACATTTTCCAGATAGGGACAGTGGATCTCATGATCACTGCATCCTTGTTGAGTATTGCAATTTACACAGCACTCAGTCGGTGTCTGTGGTAAAAATATGTGAAGAAAGGCAGAGAAGAATAAAAAAGAAGGCCCTTTAGCTGGTGCTACAGTTCACTGTCAGAGGGAATACATCCGAGGGAGGGTTCAGGTTTGGACGTATTGTTTTTGTGGTATCTGAAGGACAACCAAGTAAGATGGAGATGAAGCTCAGGAGAGCAGGCTGGACTAGAAATCATTTAAAAATCATCATTATCCTAGGACTTGGCAGTGACATTTTTTTTTAACTTTTACCATTTATTCCCAAAGAGAGAAGGCATATAGTGTTCAGACAGAACCAAATACAGTTTGGTCTGACTCAGATAGCTTAAAAAACAGAATCTCCTGAGCACCAGCCTGGTCCAGGGGATGGACCCAAGAGGCAAAGGCAAGGAACCAGTTAATGATCATTTCTATTTACATGGAAAAATCTCTGCACAATTAAAAAATTAAAGTTGTTGGGCTGGTCCAGTGAAGAGGTAATAAGGTGTTTATTAAAAACTCTTTTTCACCCGGAGGCAGTTAGCATTTATAATTTAAAACCCAGCCCACCACAGAAAGGGAGTGAATTAAATCAAGAGATTGTGCAGAGCAAGAAAAAAAATGAGGTTAGGAGACCATGAGTCACCAATAGTCAGCCCCAATACATGTTAGAGGAGAGGTTCGCCGTGTGCTATTAGGGTTCTAGAGTAATTAGACTTAATCCAAGACATACCGACTGAGAAACTACTAGGCAACTGTTGCTTTTGGTAGCTCTGAGAACAGAGATGGGTGGTGCTCACTCTCCAGAAGCTACAGGTGAATACGAGAGTGACACCGACTAACGGTTGAATGACACCATAGGGAGCAAGCATATGATTTATTGATAGAGCAGCAAAGGTAGCAAGCAGTGTCAGCGTTTATAATTTGGGGCGGGGACTTACCTGGTGGTCCAGTGGTAAAGAATCCACCTTCTGATGCAGGGGACATGGGTTCCATCGCTGGTCGGGGAACTAAGATCCCACATGCCGCAGGGCAACTAAGCCTGCACGCCACAACTACTGAGCTCACACGCCACAACTACTGAGCTTGTGCGCCTCAACTAGAGAGAGAAAAACCCACACGCCACAACTAGAGAGAAGCCCACACGCCACAACAAAAGATCCCCCATGCCTCAATGAAGATCCTGCGTGCTGCCGCTAAGGCCAGTCGCAGCCATAAAAATAAAATAAATATAATTTGGAGTGATCCTTTAACTCTGAGTATTACTCCCTCTAAATAACGAGGCATGTAAACCAGGGTGCTGTTCTAATTAGTATTGCCTATGCTACACAGAACCACTTAATGATACACCAGAGATTATAGTAGAAATGGTAGGAGCAGGGCAGCTGGCATTTCTAATTGAAATCCTATGAGCAGAACAAACTCAGGGCTTTCAAATAACAAAATATGTAGCACTGGGAGAATAGGACCCTCTCTGTAATCCCAACAGGGACTGAAAGGTTACCCTGGAGTAAATATATGTGGAAAGAATGTGGACAAAATGAGGGGGGTTCTTTTAGGGGAAAGATCAAATAGTCCGAAAGAATACTTGGTTTTCTTGAAAATGTTCGAAGACTGTGTGTCTAAATTGACTTCATGTCAGGGTAGAATAGTATCTCCAGAATCTAAATAAAGGAAATGAAGGTGGTAACATCTAGGCGAGGAATGTGTGTCTGTGTGAGGGGCGGGGGGTTGTTCCGGGTGGAGAATACCAAAAAGTAGGAAATGAGGAAGCACAATACTGATCATGAGATCTATTATTCCAAGGCTGCTTCTCCGCGGGCACTGGCTGGGCCATATTCATTGTGACTCTATCACAGTTCATCTTGCTTGTGTAGGTTAGAGAATGCCAAAGAAGAACAAAGTCAAATATGAGATTTAAGACAAATGAGAATATAACCCCCAGCTCTCCCCCCGCCCGGGCATCTGCTGCTCGTGACAATTTGATGAAACCAGCTCAGTCTGTGTTAAAGTCGAGGCAATAGGCTCCCAGAACAGGAGCTGGGAAGAAGATGGTTCTGATATCACGAAAGGCAAAGCCAGAAGAGAAGCAGCACAATACCCATCCCCTTTCCTCTGAGGGAAGAAGCTTTCGGCAGGTTGCACGACAAGGAATCTCATGGTCATTTTAGAATCTTCTTGTCAAATGATTGTTCAAGAAGGAGCTTTTGCGGGAAGCCCATGTAGTCAACCGTAAAACTATAAATCATGTGATGGTTATTCTAAGAATGGAATTAAGGGGAGAAATGTGAGAGTGAATTATGTATTGGTGTATTTTATAAAATACGTTTATAATACAATTGACCCAAAAGAAAAAAAATCTGATTGTATATTTGACGTTCAGGAAGAGAGCCTATGTGCAAAGTACAGTAAAATCTGGACTGTCAAGTATGTTGTCCTATAGATTCCACCTCCATCTTATTCCCCTTATGCGTCTCCCCATCTCCTTCCCCACTGCCTCAGCCTGAGCTTAAGCCCTCCCCTAGTAATCCAGGAGTTCACACTCTTGTGGATTTCACGGACCCGGAAAATCTCAAAGGGACATTTGGAGAACCAGAGAGACCAGCTGCTTCTTCACTTGAAGGCTAGCACACACCTATATTTTATAAAAGACCTGTTATTCACTGACACCATGATTGCATCGATGAATAAACAGTTTATCCCCACAGATGTTGGGAGGTCATAATTTTGAACTGAAGAAGTCCTAATTAAATAAAATTCAGCTTTATGAAAAATTTACTCTACCTTTTAAAAAGTTATCATTTTACTACAGATTGATGAAAACACTGTCACAAACCAACACTGGAATAGACAACTGGGTTTAGGGAATTCCCTGGCAGTTCGGTGGTTAGAACTCGGCACTTTCACTGCCGGGGCACGGGTTCAATCCCTGGTTGGGGAACTAAGATCCTGTAAGTCGTGTGGCGCAGCCAAAAAAAAAAAAAAAAGAACTGGGTTTAGGAGAGCAGATTACTACAGTGGTTTCCCAACCCACCAATCTCCCTGCCTTCACAGCTCTGTGCCCTGAAGTTCATCCTCTACAGCACTGTCACAGTCATGTCTTGCTCCCCCTCTTCGGACTTAAAGAGAAAGTCCAAATATCTCAACAGGTCATAAAGCCCTCCACAGTCTGACCCCAGCCCACCCCCAGCAATGTCCCTTGTGATGTCTCACCCCCCAGCTCCATGCCCTGTGCCCTACAGTGCCGGTCCCCAAAAAGGCCATCAGCTTAGCAACTTAGCTGATTCACACTCAGGCACAAGCTCCTTACCTGGTGTCACCTTTGTGACTTGCGATTCTCTGAACGGTTTAGACATTTGAGGTCTTCGTGCTTTTTGCTCATTTCTTCCCTCTGCCTGGAATTACCTTTCTTCTCTAGCCCACCTGCCAGACACAGTTCTCTTTGAAGGTTCAGCTTGGGTCATATTTCCTGACCCCAGCTAGGATTCACCGCCTTGTGCTCCCTTGTGTCTACTCTGTGGTATACAGAAACACATCAGTACTAGCATTTTGGTGGCCATTGCCTTGTGTCTTTGGACTGCCTCACATCCAGCTGTATTTGTGATTAGGGACAGCCTCTAGTGTGCAGTACTGGTGAGATGCAGGACCTTGCCTTTCTCCATGGCCACTGAAGCAGGGAGGTTTTCCCGCTTCCCTCACCTGGTGGGATGGTGTATTAGTTTGGTAGGGCTGTCACAACAAAGTACCACAGACTGGGTGGCTTAAACAACAGAAACCTACTTTCTCACA